AGATGTGTATAAGAGACAAATCTGATACATAGTGTTTATATTTTAAACACACCGTAACAATTGTAAACGCGTCAAGCGTCACAATTTTTTACAGTGCACCTACTGCAAATAAGGTACAGATCGATTTGTTGGTTTTCTGTTAAAAATAAAAACAAAAACCTCCTTTGACATTTTACCTCTTTGTTCTTGTTTTGTTCTTTTAAGATATTTCAGCCTCAGTGTTCTTATAAAAAAAATGTGTACCAGTAAGCTGTAGTATACTCATAGAGAGTGCATTTGCTCTTGCATATCTTGTGACCGGATATGCAGATTAAGAGTGGGACTTTCTAGTCTTCTGCGGGCTAGCAACATCTCTCTTTAAAGCTAAATAAATTCAACTAATACATTAATTCAATTAAGCAGAAAACATTCGTTTTAGACTAATTCATCTAAACTAAAATAAAAACACTGAGCCTGGCAAACTTTTATTGTTTCCTATTTTAAAAAAATGTGTAGTAGACTTCTTACTTTTTTTTAGTAGCTGTGGGATCTGGACGACACTATGTTGATCTTTCAGTTGCAATTTTTTTTTTCCAACAAACTCAAGTTTACATGGATTGTTGATAACAATAATACATTGAACTTTATGTCTGAGTTTGATATACAATATGAAATGATAACGCAAGGCACTATCAACTAAATTATACTCAGAACACACAAAATGGTATTATCATGCAAAGTTATCATGTAATTGGATATGTTATGATATCGCTTGGGTTTTGGGTAAACCGTTAACGGTCGTAGGTTTCATGTATTTATTTATATTAGTCAGTGAAATTATATAGATAATGAGCTTAATTGCGACCTCAACATATAGAATTCTTTCTTTGCTACGTTGGTAGGTGGTACATTGTTATCGCTCATTAATATTTTAACGATTAGATTGAGAGTCGACGGATATGCTAGTGTTGTTTAAATATATTCAACGGTGCACTGGTTGGGTAGGCCTACTCGCCCTGTTAAATGAAATCAACATAAATTGTAATGGTAGGCCTATTAATATATCTCCATCTTCTGTTTAGAACTTCGGGGTTATATGTGACAAACATTTTGATTTCAGTAACCAGTTATCTGTGTCTTCCGACTTGGTCACTTTCATCAGGCCTTACATCTTATTTTCTGCTGCTGCTTCCCTTGTTGAAGTCTAAACGTGACCTTGTAATGCCTTGCTCAATGGTTCACCTGCTCGTGTTGTAACATGATTCTCTAAACAGTTCACAAAATATTACTCCAATTTTCGCTACACATCATTTTTAAAATTTTTCTTCAAAAATTTACCCATGATCATGCCCCATATATGATTTTGTTTGACAAACATGTTCCTTCCCGTTCTACTCGTTCCTCCCGACCCTTCCAACTTAAAACGCGGGTTTTTTTTTTCTTCTTGCACGTACATTCTGGAACTCCTGTCACCACAATTATCTCTGATCCTGAATTATTCAAATCCAATCTTAAATCTTTCCTCTTAAAGTAGCTCAACTCTTTCTAACATCTTCCAGCGCCAATGACAAAAAAGTTTTGTTTTTTTCCTTCAATAAGTGCTATAGAAATGTGTTACATTATTAAGTTGTGTTTAATCCCTATAATGAATGGTCCATTTAAGACCGCATATTAATGGGACCGCTATGCGCTTAACAAACATGAAAACAAAAACGGACCAAGAAAGTAATACTTAATCTAACCCTAAATACATACGAATATACATACTATTGAAACTAAGCATGGCTGGCCATATACTCCAAGGACCGCATTTTATCTTTCTTCAGCTATTTGTTGTTCCTGCTCTGGTTGACCATCCACCCTCCCACCCAAGGCTAGGCCAGTAGACACCCGTGTAGGTAAAGTGGATGCATTAACTCTCCTCCGCCGGTCACCATTCTGGTATTTCCAAATAAAGGTTTCAGCAGGGTGAACTTGAAAAAGATGGTTAGAAACTGAAATGTTTTCAAACGTGACACAAAGACATTTAGTATATTTAAAGGTTACCTTCAGATGAGTCGACAAATTCAAATTCGTCGTATTTTTCGCACATGCGTTTTATGACGTCAATCTGGTCGATGATGTGACGTATTGAGTCCATATACTGGGAACTGCAGGATGTATAAGCTGCCCAGAACTGAAAAAAAAATGTCATTACAATGTGC